GTGGTGGTGGTGGTGGTGGTGGTGGTGGTGTCTCACCTCGACGTGCACGTCGAAACTGGGATCCAACTCGCTACCGTTTCAGGAAACGTTTCGACCCCGATCGCGCCCCGTTTCTCGCCCGTTGGTCTAACGGAATTCGACGCGACGACCACGATAACACCGCGGGAGATCCCATCGACAAAGCGGATCGCTCTCGTTAAACTCGGAAATGTAATTTCTAAAACCGTGGCTCCAACTTTTAACGAGCTTTCTACGCTTCTTAAAGAAGCGGGGAACCTCGTGCCTCTAATTACGGAGGACAAAAGGTGACCGAAAGTCGTGACTCGGCTTTTAAAAATGAGCACGAGCCTGACCGACGACGCGTCAATTATATTCTGGGGTGGGGAGGGATCGCGTGAAAGAAAAGCATTTGGAAAAGCAACCGACATAACTTTCCTCTTTTGTCGCGTGCAATTAATTCCGTGGGGAGGGGAGGGACTGGCGCGTATCGTACAGTAAGGGACAAAAAGATAAGACACCCTATGCTTTCTCATGTTTCGATATAGCATTAGAAGAAAATGTACGCTTCAGTAGACAAATCACATACACAAACACACATATATATATATAGCTATAAGTAAAATTGTGCGTAGTGTCCATTTCTAAAAAAATATTATGAACATTGTTGTGTCGAAATAGAATTTCCAAATTCCTTTATTAACAGATGGACTAAATTTATGTTCAATCACATATGAGATTCATAGAAATTTCGCTTATATAAGATACACAATTTCTGTTTCAATTTCATTTGACGTTTGAATATCGTACTTAACAATTACATATATTCAAGCTATTTTACCTTAGAACTCCTACACAATAATAGCAAAAGGAAGTTCTTCAGAAAAAACGAGGAAGATGTGTAACAGAAGTTAAACACAAAAGAATTAATTGAAAGACTTTGTCTAAACCTAAGCAAACCTGTTTTAAATATAAAAATCATATACGCAAGAAACACTCTGCAAATATATTTCTTTATCATTCACACGTAATATCAGAAGAATCTGACTGACTATAACATCCTATAAGTTCGCGATATAATATTATTTTTCCCTTAGGATAAATAAATAAGAAGACACGTGGGTTCGAGGAAGCTTCATCTTAAGAATTTACGTAACAGCTGGAAATTTAGAATTTAATTTTAAGGTTGACGCTTGAAAAAATTCTTCGTTGCATAAAGTATCGTTTCATTTTCTCCATTTTTCGAAATAAACATAGCATTTGTTCTGAGGCTTTCGAGAGGCGAAAAGATGTTCCGTGAAAAAAGAAGATAACATTTTATAACCAACTCGTCAAACGTTAGACGTCGTTGATTTAAATGTTCCTTGATTTAAATCGATCATTTTTTTTTTTTTCTTCTTTAGCATAAAACGCATCGAAGAAACGAGTCCATGGAAGCCCGCCGCGACAGATGCGTGTGCGTTTTTAAATAATCGAACGTATTCATTGTTCTCGGGACAACGGGAGCGGGAGAGAGGAAAGAAACGATTCGAGAGATTCTCGTCGATCGTGTCAAACGGACGAAAATGGCGAGGTGAAATGGTCGACGCGAGTCGTCGAAATGGTTAAAGGACATTTGTAAAACGACGTGTCGTCGCATGGTTACAGAAAGTACATGCAACAACGCTTAGGCGTCTCTTGCTCGGTAAGTGAGACTGAATAGCCGTCGAAACTACGTTTTGTCAGGTCGTTTGATTCATTCTATGCCATTCTTCGAGCAATTAGTAGCGTAATCGTATACGAGCTACAGCGGCGGACACACTCGTGTGTGTTTCGTTGTGCGCGAGCGTACGTGAACGAGACAGACGGAAACGGGCATTTACCGCGAGGAAAACAGACTCGTTGAAATCTAGCTTGGAATTATCGATGAGACGGATCGGAAAAATTAGACTGGAATCCGCAGATCGGTCGGAGTCTCCGTCGAAAACACATTGGTTACGATATAAAGAGACGAGCCAGTGTCATCGGTTTGAAGCGCGCGGTGATTCGTTGAAAAAGTAAGAAACCGAGGCGGAGAATTTCCCCCCCCCCCCCAAGAAAAATAATTCTGCACGACGGTCGACTTGTTTCGAATTCAAGAACGGACGGTTCAACCGCGTCCTCGTTGAAAGGACGACGTGCAGTCGTTCGTAGACGCGTTTCGAAACCACCGGAGGCAATAAAAATGGCGGAAATTCCGTCGCGCGGTTTTACTTTAGCCGACGGAGCAGAATGCCTCGAAATGCAATAAACGATTCCGACAGTCTCTCGTTCAAACAACGTCGTTTATTCGTGGCGCCTTCGATGCCTTCAAATCATCCGGTCGCATCCGGCGAGCCGCCGCTTTCACCAAAACGTTAGCGCCAGCGAAACGAAAATATCGTTCGAAAGTTTACGGCGTCGATAACTTCGGCTACCCTTTATCTAATCGCTCATCGGGGAAAACGCTCGAGGCGCGCGCCCCGCCTGGACTTCACTCACGCGGGCCTCGAACGATGTTATTTCCTAATTTCAGACCTCGGACGGCAATTTTCCACGCCTCTGAGAACCTAAACGACAGAAATTCGACTCCTCCGTCGTTTTCCCAGGCATTCCATAAATTTTTATGACGTACGTCAAAGTTCGTATGGCCACGCGAACGACCCTAATGACTATCAATTAGGCAAGCCTCTGCTAGCAGCCAAGTGTCGCGTCGAAATAACGATCCACCAATTCGATGTAGAAAAGTCGAAAATTCGCGTGGATGAAGAAAGTGGTTGAATAAGGATCGCCTTGGTTTTCACGGCGAAGTAACACGAGAACGTCCAGCGCACCCTCTGGAAAGCTGATTCGTGGCGAACTACGTGTTTCCACGTACGCTTCTCAACGGTGCGCGCTGTGGAGGGTCGGTTGCTTTCGTATTGATTGTACGGATGATTCATGGGGTTCTCTCCACCGGTGGCCACCCCCGCAATATTCTAAGCCGACACGACCAACCCCATAGCTCGAAGCTTATCCCTATGCGGAGAAACGGAGGGAACACGGCCAGGAGACTCCATATTTAGGGGAGATACTGACAGGCAAGACGAAGGACACTGGGTTGGTTTGGGTCGCTTCAGTTTCGTTGAAATCGCCGGCTGACTCATTAAAGAGCCAAAGAATCCAGAGAGGCCATGAATATCGTTTATCGACGATTAGGCTATCTCTAGTATTCTTTGATCCGATGTACAGGCAACAATTCGGAACGAAGAATCGCGTGCCCAATTACGTTTCGTTTTGTTGAATTTCGTCTTGTCTCGTTTCGCCCGATTTCGTCGAATCGAGACGAGATTTTCGGATACCAGCGCGACAAGTCTTCGGGATGAACCTGAACGGGAATACAAGCTCGATGTATACGCGCGTACGCGCGTGTTCGAGCGACAGGACGCTCGTAGCACATCTGGCCGCTGATTCAAGGCCGGACAATCAACTTTGTATAGAAGAGGGACCCTCTCCCTCTCGACGTTTGCGCCGATACGTGCGTACACGATCCTCGTATGATATCCAAGGACAAACGCTTTCCCCGATGGCGTTATTTATTAGGTTGGCCAAAATATTACTGCGCTCCTTTTTTTTGCGCGCGCGCGAAACGAATTTTTCACGAGAGAGAGAGAGAGAGAGCAAAATTTTATATTAAACGATACAATGTCCATTTTGTTCGATCATCTTTCAGGCAACTGAACGTGATTTCGCATGTTCGAAAAAGTTCTTACCTTTTTCGACAAAAAAAACAGTTGCAAGATTCGATACTCTAATCAAGAGTGAAGTTTGGCAGCTCAATTCTGACGCTGCAATTTCGAGGCTTCTTCACCATGCACGTGATAAAATAATTTTTTATGAGTTTGCACAGTATTTCCTCTCCCCCCTCGTTTCAAAAGTAACATATCAGAAATGTTGATTTTCCATATTGAAAATCGACATGCCAATTGGTTGTTTGCATTTTTTTTTTAAAAAGTTTGAACAGTTAGCTGTCAGGTTCATCACACAATGAATTTTTGCGGTTTAAAATGAAATTAATTAAAAAGACAATTATTCTTTTGGCCTGACTCGATATAATTCTTACACGAGGTGTTTCTACTTTTTCCAGCATAACTTTGCCAATAGATTCTATAAGAAACAAGTGCTCAAGAATTCTTCATTCTCAAGAAGGAACTATAACAAAAATTCGAAATATACGAGTTGATATTTACCCACCTACGTTAGCTTCATTTCGAAATTTTATGAATACAGGCCCGACATCCATTAAGAATTGAACTTATTACAAATTTCTAGTTGATTTCATTGCATTAAACGCATGATAAATTCTTCGCGCGTATTAACTTTTGTATAATGAACCTCTTGTTTCAATACCTCAAGCAAAAATCCAATGACATGAGGTCTGGCGACCTTGGAGGCCAAGGAATTCATTATTGGCCTATCTTTGTGAAACGCTGTATCCAAGCGAAAATTACCTATTATTCAATAAACTTTCGTTCTAGTTTCTTAGCGAGGAATTTTCAAGCGTTGTTTTCTGATCTTCACCCACAGAATCAACTGGCAAAATTATAGCCGGAAAAAGTAGGGACCATCATCAGTATTGCACTGGAACCCACTGGAAGACACTTGACGTGGAAACGGAGAAATCTTATCTTACGTTATCACCGTTAACGCGATTCCTTATCGTTTCTGCTAGAGCGGAGGGCACGCAATTTTAGAGAAGCAGCCTCTCTTTATCGATTTCGTTCCCCCTCGTCTGTTCTGTGGCAAACAGAAATCAAATAGGAGGCGAAAGTTGGATTGCGAGCGTGTCGCGTGACGAAGATCCGTCGACGGATATGGACGTCATCGCTCTTCGCTGGGATTTCTCCACGACCATTCATCCCCCGTTGCTGCTACTTCAAACGTAAATATACACAAAAGTATTTGTATGTTTAAAGACGATAATGCGAAGCTGAGCAAAGTTTCCTGCCACCAAGTACACAGTAGCAGAGCTTAGAACGATCCTGTATGTAACTTCCAAACGGTTATATTACGACCCTGATTGAAACAGTTATCGAAGGATCGATACTCCAAATACACTGGCCCACGAAATATGATATTCGTTCCAATTGAAATGGACACCGACTGGCCAGGATAATGGATAAAATTGTTTCAAATTTGTTAATTTAAAGTTGTTTCGAATTTACTAAATTAAAATTATTTTAAATTTAGCGATTTAAATCCTACGTTTTTATATGTATGTATATACACGAGGATTATGTGTATTAATTTCATTAAAATCGAACACTATGCATACGAAGGAGAATGGTTTTACAAATCATGGTCACAAAAGTATTGAAAATCTAATTGACCTGACATCAAGTACTCAATCATCGTACCATGTATCGTACCTATGGAAATTTAAAGGTACCAATTATTCTGGAAATTCTATGTCTTCTTTCATTGCAAGTGTATCATGAAAGTTATGAAAGACCGAAATTTCTGATATCGGTTTCGATTATACGGCTCTTCACATATCAGATATCAATCCACATATTTGCTATATTTCTTCAGTTCGTATTTTCTTATGCTGCTACACAATGACTTTAAAACTGGCCATTAGCGTACGTCCATTTCCTATTATTATTGCCTACCATTTTCTTTTCCTTCAGAAAAATTTTCTGAACATTGAGCAAGCTGAAACGCAAATTCCAGCTGCGATAACTGCAAATTGCTGTTTCTGTTAAAGTGTCAAAACTTGCTAAATTATTTCTGGCTGAATTATTACATCATCATTTGAAATATCAATTGCGTTGTATTTCCTAAGAAAATGTCACGCTATTTGGCAATGTAAGTCCTCAACGTGATAACGATCGTGATAACATTACGAAACAAAATTCATCGTTGAAGTTCGAGAACTCGAGGATTAGTCCCATGGTGTTCACCGATGTGAGGATCGGTAAAAAAGGACCGATATGTGGGTCATTATCTGATACGTGAAAGACCATAATCGAAACCGATATCAACAGAAATTTCGGCCCTTTATAACAGTCACTAAGAGTATCATAAACCGGATATTGTAACTGTTTTTAAGCCCCCTGCAATCAGTGTTTGAGAATCCTGATGATAAGCACGGCTGTAAATAGCATGTACGTTGTTCGGTAAACTGCGAGCTCATTTTCGAAATGAGCGAAGAAAAGAGCGAGGAAGGATCGATCGTGAAATCTTCTCGTTGGCAAAAGTTTCGGCTCGATATCCCTGCCCTCCGCCAACTGTTCCGGTATCCTTTGGCTTCGGTATAACGTTACCGCAAAGGTGGTCAGCGTGCCAACGTTCGAGAACACAGCGCCGTTCGTTGGTTGTTCTGCGCGCATTACCCGATTTCCAGCCGCTGGAAAGTTTTCTCCAGCGTTTTCTCAACGTTCTCTCGTCGTGCACGGGAGAGAATTTTGAAACACTTCGCTCCGTGCACGGATGTCTAGCGTGCGTGCTGCTCGCCAACCAACACAGTGCCGCTCTGCAGAGAAAAATCCGCGAGAAGACCTTTACGACGAAGGCGATACTCGACACTCGCGATCCTCTTTTGGCTTAATCTGCCAAGATGATCCTCGCTCGCCGTTGGATCACGGCTTTCAAAAGAGGAAAGATCGTTGAATATATCATTCAAACGCGACGTTCGAAACGACACGTACGCATTTGGAATCGATCCCCTGCGTTCGTTTCAATCACGAAGCGATCCATTTCAAGTAAATATGAGGAGCACGTATCATCGCTGCGTTGAAATTTATAATTTCTCGCGTTTGATCCGCTTCCTCAGTGATTAGATAGAGGCGGAGAAGAAGGGAGAGACATTCATCTTTCTACGCAAGGTCGGATCTTGCAACCTCGAAACAAGATTACACTTCGAATTACACGGAGAAGTTCGACTACCAATTCATCCGTGATTACCTAATCTCTGGCTGGAAAGTTTGTCCTGGAACGAACAACAGCTTCGAGAGAAATATACTGCCTAGTCATGCGAACTCGTGTTCGTGGCGCGGAAGCTTCGAGAGAGCTGAATCGGACGCCGTCCGAGATCTCTCTCGTCTGCGGGCTAAAACTTCCCGACTTCCCAACTTCGCTAATTAGCTTTTTACCTTATTAACGGGGCACGACGCCGACGTTAAACGGCGAAATTTCGATAATCAACGTGTCTGCAACAGTGATATATCTCGATCGGATCTCCGCGAAGCCGCAGACGAGGCTCGCTCGCGTCGAATTTGTCTTGACGAATTAGACGAGTATCGAGACGATAACCGACCTAGGACAAGGGAACGGGACCTGTTGGATCCAAACTATCGAGCAGAACGAGCATAGGTCGTAAACTACTAGAGGTGTAATCGCGAGAGGAAGGGAGCGAGCGAAAAAGAGAGCGTTTGGTTTAGAGGTTAAGCCGCTCGTACAGTCTTCTTGCAGCGACGGAGATCGCGCGTTAATTCGATACTTCCTGCTCGCTCGACGAGACGAGACTTTTCTCGAGGATTTGCTCCGCGATGCTTGAAAACCACGTGGCCTCGGGGAATCCCTGTCTTAAACAACGCCCGTTCGTCTACACCGACGACTTAATTTCACTGAATCCTCCTCCTCCTCCTCCACCGTTCTACAAGTTTTTAACCGATGTAAATTCGTGTTTAAGAGTTGAAAAAAAGAAGACCGCCCGGGGCTCGTTAGCAACGGCGAGCAAATCCATTAGACGCAACGTGAATTCGTACCAGGACCAGGAAGCGAAGGGAATTTAGCGTGAGCGAGAACAGAGTCGAACGAGAGAGGAGACATCCAGGGCTCTTCCTACCTGTACGCGAGGAGATTACGCATATTTCTGGCGCAAAGGACCGTCAGGGCCAAGCGGATCGGACAACCTTGCTAGCAACCTCCAACAGGTATACACGAGCGAAACGAGCCGATGCCGGGATAACCGGTTTCCGCGATGTACGTTTGTCGAAACGCCTTAATTACCAGGACCTCCTCTCGTCCTTTCGTCTCTCTTTCTCGATCCTTCGAGCGTCGCAGGGACGTACTTCGTGTTGCAGCGTGCCCACATGTTTCAACTAGGTCACACGTTTCAACAGGCACACTGGCAGCTTCTTTCGAAATCAAATAACCACGTGGAACATCGTGATCGGTATTATGAACGTCAAACGCCTTGGCGTTTTAACGTTCGCACACTGAGCTAGTATTTGGCCCGGAAAGCCGGGAAATGGTCAATTCGAACAATTTTACACAAGTTAGAACATTTTTATCATTCAAAGTTGTCGAATGCCTGAGCGACAAGGTACTAAATAATATTTTTTAATACTAAATAATATTGTTTATACATTCACGGATCGTCAAACTTGATCGAAAGTCGAGAGACTGTGTACTAAATCGTGCATTTCATCAGTAATTTTTATATTTTTCAAAAAAAAAGACTGTGCAATCTCTCGCACTGTAAGTACTTTCTACGTTTCTGAATAGTTTTTTTTATTTTTTTTTTTTTTATCACACTTGTTTATACTATTTTGTAGATTATCAATAATTTAGTAATCTTTTTACGATTACGTGACTTCGATTTTATTATATTCGTTTTATATAATACAAAAATCATTGCTTGCCAAGGCTTTTCAAGGCTTTCCGATTATCAGAGAAAAAAAATGTTTCCAACAAAAGCTATACATGGTAATCAGTATTCGTATATAAAATTAAAAAAAAAAAGTCTCTTCGATAAAAACTCAAGGTCACGTTGATTTTTTAAATGTCAAACTGCATCTTTGACGTCACAACATTGTAGCTGACGACTTTAGTGACCTATGTATACATACATTATATTAATCTCGAGCACGTACAATAACGTTAAAATAATTTTTTTTTTCAACTATCTCCCAGCAGACCAAATATTCCACGATACAACCGATTTTCAATTATGAATTTGCTGCGCGTTGCGAACCTCTCTGCCATCGAAAATTTCCTCCTCACTCGCGCGTCTCTCTTTTGTATCTAAAATTCATTAGAATCACGGTGCAACGGGTTTAATCTAGTAAAGTGCAACCGGAACGGAAGAAAACGTGCAGAGAAAACGACTACGCATTTCGATACGTTCGCGTCCATCGAGATTTCTGGTTACCGCGCAAAAGGAACACGATCTGTCTTTTTTTTTTTTGTTCAACTATTATACTACACGCGCGATACCAAGTGAAGCGGGTCGAAGGTGATCGAAGAAGGTTGAAGACGACCAGAACGGACGATCGATGGAAACGAGTAGAAGGCGGATCGATACGTAATACATAACTAGATTTACGGATTCATCCGATGGTTTTCCGACTTTATGAATAAAATTGAAAAATTTTTTACCAAAGCTTGAAAACCTTTTACTATCTTTCCCTGGCAATTTTTGCTCATTTTTTCAATCGAAAAGTAAGGTATATTTATATTGTAGAATAATTGCCAATGAATTTTAAGCGAATCACAACTAATATCACGTCCTTAAATTTCATTTGTTAAGAATGATTTTCTTTAGTTGGTTAATAAACATAGTAACTTGCTGTTTTCGCCAAATATTTGTAGACATCGAATAAAATAAACCGTATCAGCAATCAAACCAAAAACATACAAACGTAATATAGGACGGAGGAAGTATCATGTAACTAAATTCATAGATTAATAGTGTATAATTATTTCTTGAAAGATATGCGTGTTTCCATTCAGCCGTCAATCTTACGGATGATGTATTTGTAGAAATAGATATACGAGAAATGCCCGTGAACCCAGTGATAGCCAAGGTAGACGAACACGCTTCGTATTGGGATAACGATCGATGCGATCTCGTCCAACAGGCGTTATATGCTCAGAGAGGGCCACGGAGAAACAGCCGCTGTGTGTCTCGTCGACTCGAGAGATATAGAATATACACAACGTTCACCAGGTCCGTCGTCCCGTGGAGCAGTTTACCGTTTTCTCGCCAACCGCTCCGCACTATAGCCGGGGTTCGTTCCTCTCTCGTATCGTAGAAAACGGCACGGTATCTCCTCTCTCTCTCCCTTTTTCTCCTCTATTTGCTAGCCGCTCTATTCACGCGCTCGCTACACGCGGAGATTATCGGTCGTTCGTATGACTCACTCTCGAATACAGGCTATAGACAATCGCCACGGTGGAACGAGCTGCCCGCGATAATCCATTCGATTCTCTCTGCCGGCTAAATAGAAACACAATCGCGCTCTGCACGCCTGGGCATTCGCCGATCGAGACTCGGTTCCTCTTGTCCGGTATCTCCTGCGACGACGACGACGCTTTTCCAAGGCAGGATTCGAGTCGCCGCCACAGTCGGGCACGAAATGCGCGCGCGATCTTCAGACATTTTTCGGTGGTCATGTTGCGATAACGGTACCGGGTGACGCGCGATCTGTGTTCGACACGTGAGGAATGCCTCCGATGCCCAGTTCCTACGAATTGCGAACGAATCGTTTCACGGGAACAGATCTCGAGGCGCGCAGATTCCGCCAGATCTCCCTTCTCCGCCGCGTATCTTAACGACGTAGGTCATGGAGGCTAAAGAAACACTCCG